GCTTACCTGCTACTCAGTGTCCAAACTCAAAGTTCGGTCTAGACCCCGGACTTTGTCTTCTTAGTGATGCATGCTTGCTCGTGCTTGGTTCAAGACTTAAAGTATGCTGTGTTAGTTAACTATCGGTTGCAAGGTTCTTCGCTGAGAGATGTTTGCTTTGGTCTGGTTTGATTACTAAAATAGTTTGCCCATGTTGCATTCGTTCAATCATGGAAATCTTCACGTTAATCATAGATTGATTGAGTGTGATATGTTACGGCACTGGGCATGATGATAGTTGTACAATGACTTATATTTATAATTACTTGCTTCTGATTGCACTGATGATTTACAACCCTGATATCCAATCCAAGACGGCTGTTTAATAAACCACACAAAATTCCTCCAAGCCCATTACGCCACATTACCCCTTCATGTTTCTCCACCCACACACCTCACCTGGTATGATATCAGCCACAATCGAATCGGAACAGACTGCCGGTTGGATACCGCTGCATTCAGTCTTGGCTTCCATGGATTGTTACGAATTTCAGCGGTACACTTTTCTTGGTACATCATCTGCATAAATGAACACCGAACCTTCGCGTTCCCGAGGCCTCTCTAGAATAGCCGGCCTCTGATTCTCCACTTCATAATATCTCTCACCTTCTGCTGCTGCAGGCTGATGACTGCGAGGAACTATTTCCGTGGGACGAACGCTAAATTCTCGACGAGGAGGTGCCATAACCTCACGACGAACTTCAGGGTGAACACTTGAAGCATACTCCCTAGGAGCCTCGGGTCGGACACTAGAAAGTCTTCCTACATATTCTCTAGGGACTTCATATCTAATGGCTTCTGGTCGCACGCTCTGTGGTCGAGACAAATACTCACGAGGAGCTTCATCGTAGTGACTGGCTTGACGACGCTCAGGTTGAGCCCTAACTCTAACATATTCTTCGCCTGGTGGTCCCATTGGAGTTGGGCGAACTGAATATTCTCGTTCACGGTATGAGCGATATTCGGGCTGGGCGTACTCTGGTTGTGTAATGACACGTCGTGGGGCTGTAACTATGGGAGAGGCTCTTCTGTATAACACACCATCCTCTTCAAATGTTTCTACTGGTGGGCGAGTAGACATGGTTCTAACAGGGGCACGCTCATAATACAGCTCTCCGTCGTCATGCCTTCTGGCAATTGGTGCAACTGACTGACGCATTGAAGGTGCGGGAGTGGGATCAATATACTCACGGCCATATGCATCAACAATGATCCTAACAGGTTGACGCGGAGGTCCCATTGGAATTGGTGATCTTCTTTCTCTCATAATCGGCGATCGAGACCTTTCGCGATCAGCATCTGGGCGGACACTCATTCTAGACAATACAGGTCGTTCTCTTTCGGTGTAATATCTAGGTTCCTCAATAAGTTGTCGGTCCACGATTGCGTGAGAGCTTTCTCTAATTGGCCGAGAGTATGGTAAAGCATAAACTGGAGACGCTGGTCTTCTTGTATACTGTCCTCCGCTATCAACCCTTTGATACTCGACTTCATCGCGCTCCACGCGTTGATATATGGGTTCTGGTCGTCGAATCTCTGCATATCGATCTGGGTAACCTCCCTCATAACGCACGGGAGCTCGAACTTCTTCATATCTTTTGGAAGTGGCTTCCGGAATCACCTCAACTGGCTCATATCTAGGCTCATCATAGTTAAGTTCTGACGCGTATTGTCCTGACTGTCGTTGTCTCTTTGGTGGTCGTGGTAAAGGTACAGCAGCAAATGGGGATGGTGAACGGGGTTCTGCCTTGATATACGGAGAATCAGGTGTACCGATTTGGCCACTATCATTAGCCTTACGCTTCTTCTTCTTTCCTTTCTTCTTCTCTGAAATCTTTGGTCCATTCGGGGAACTTTCTGCACTGGATAAACCCGAGGCTGCATTTCGAAGCGCAGCAACTTGAGGTTGTTGTGCCTCATTAACGGGAAGGGCGTCTCTTAGAATAGGGGGGTCTCTTGCAGTAGCCAATGGTGAGACACGAGCAGGTTGTGGTGCCAGGGGAGATAGATTATGGGCTCGGGTGTTAAGTGGTTGCTGCAAATCCATTTGAGATGCCTTTGATGGGCCCACTCCATCACCCATCTGCTGAGAACCTGCGCTTTCAGAGCCTGTACTCGTACTGTCTTGGCAAAGATCAACAATGCCCGATACTCTACGTGGTACACCCTTGGAATATGGTGGTTCTTGGACAACCTTTCCTCGAAAATCATCTGGAGACTGTTGTTCAGCAGAATGATTATTCTGGATTCCTAGTGGGCGGTACTGTGATTGTGAATGTGTCTGAGATTCTAGATGATTATTTTGGGATAGTAAACTACCAGTCATAACCACATCATTGTCTTCAACATTGGTTGTAGGATCAGTTGGAGCTGCCGATTCTTCAATCGAAACCTCACCGCGTACTTGCCCGCTAAGGGTTGGCTTGTGGCTATGCGATGAATTGGATGGCTCAGGGGTATCATGCTGACTAGAATAGAAAGAGTTTTCATCAAACGAGTCACTTCCAGCACCCACAGAAGGTTCAACTTCTGGAGCCGTGGCGGGATGAACTATAGCAAGAGCTTTTTGCAAAACTTCGGTGAGATCAAAATTGGGGAGGGATTCAGATGTCTGAAGCAAAGCTTTTTGGGCCAAACGATGTTGGTCCATTTGTTCCCTGAGAGCTCTTTCCAATCTCTGCCTTTGCAATTGTATTTCCGCCTTTATAAGATCGTCAGATTTCTCCAACAGAATTGGATTAATCTCTGAAGTTTTCACAGATTTATTAGAAATCGTAGATACTGACTGTTTCGCAATGTGGCTGTTTGCCCCGGCAGCACGATAATTGACGGGTGAATGGCTCTTCGAGGATGGTGCCGAGTCGATGGCTGCTTGCGCATTTGCGCGGATTGCTGATGTGTTAGGTGATGATGTATTACGAGCTAGACTGCTCTGTTTTCCCACTCCTACAATATGAGAAGGGACTTTGACGCGAGGATGAGTTCCTGCAAGAACAGCATCTCGAAATGAAATTATCTTCTCGTACTCCCGAATTTCACGAATATTCTCTGTTGTCAGTGTTACACCATTTGTGCCATTGGTCGGCACAAACGCAACAGCCCCTTGGGCCATATTTGAAAATAGTGAGCAATTAAATTAATCAGCAATACAAGAAATTGACTTATTGCGTATGCAAGTATTGAGTCTAATAAATGAATTGATGATTGACTATAAATGCCAAAGTTGTGTTGTTTGAACGATTATTCGTGTCGATATTTTTAAGGAACAAGGTTGAATGTCAAGAAGGTCGAGAAATTATGTCGGCTAGAAAATAAATGGGTAGGTGCAGACTTGTATGACTAAGCGTGGACTCTACCATAGAATTGACACAGCATCCGTACTAAAGTGATCCGTACTAAAGTGAATATCCGATCGGCCGGCATCAATGTTCCCCGAATGACTCTTTAGATACATACTATTATAACCCGAACACTCTCCACATTCTCTTAGTTTTGTTAATCAATGTATAGCATCTTCAAATGTGCTAGAACTCGCACTTTCCTTTCACAACCTACATACACCATTACTAGAGCAATTAGATCACCAATTACTACTTTCTCCACACCTACCCCTATCAACTCTCATTTCACCACCAACAAGATGGGGGATTCGCGACCTGTCTTCTTCTTTGATATTGATAATTGTGTAAGCCAATACTTGTAGTTGATACGATTTTACGATTGCTGATCTTCTTCGTAGCTATATTCCAAGAGTACGAAACTCTCTTTTGCCACATCCACACATAATCCTCCAATGCATCGACTAACGCAACACACTCCGTAGGTAAAAAGGTTCATGACCACATGACCGATTTGATCGATGTCTATTTCATGAAACATCTCGAGCTTAGTCGAGAAGATGCCTATAAGCTCCATCAAGAATACTACCAAACCTATGGACTCGCCATCGAAGGTCTAGTACGTCACCACAAGATTGATGCTCTGGAATATAATCGTCAAGTAGACGATGCCGTCCCATTAGAAAGCATTCTTTCAGTGGATCCAAAGCTCCGCAAGCTACTCGAGGACATTGATCGGTCCAAAGTCAAGCTCTGGCTATTCACCAATGCTTATGTTACCCATGGAAAACGTGTTGTCCGTCTACTCGGGGTAGAAGATTTGTTTGAGGGCATGACATACTGTGATTACGCTCAGGAAAAAATGGTTTGCAAACCGTACAAAGAATCGTTTGAAAAGGCCATGAGCGAAGCTGGAGTAAAGGAATTTAAAGACTGTTATTTTGTCGGTAGGTTCTTTTTGAACCCAATTTTATCATACTACTACTCACACATTTCAGATGACTCGCTCATAAATTGTGAGGCGGCTTATAAACTTGGTTGGACAGCAGCTCACTTGGTTGAGGAAGGTGTGAAATCACCTGCTAAGCCAGTAGCAAATTTCCAAATCAGCACTTTGGAAGAGCTGAGGACTGTCTACCCACAGTTTTTCACCACTACATAAAGCATCGATGATGTGACATGAATTATCCAACATTCCCTAAGGGAAGTAGTTCTCATTAATAAAGTGGACAATAAGAGAGTCCCTCGTTTGTTCTTCCGTAGAATAGACTAGATCAATACATAATACATAGACCTTCTTGAGCTACTTCGAAATTATCTCAATTATTTTCATTCTACATCTTATAAAGCAGTATTACTATTGTCTAAAAAGCAAACCGGTTTCCATCAGCCAGGGTTGCAGTGCCACAGTCCTATCGAGTGACAAAATTATGTGTTTATACGAATGTAACGAGCTGAGAACAGTCGACTGTCTAGATTTGCGACACACCGTTCGATCGCAGATTTTTCTGTCCTCAGACTCCCATTCTGACCACTTTCATATTCCTAAACGCCTTGTGCTTACCCAAACGCCGAATTTTGCAGGTATAATATATTCGAATGAAGGGCTCAATAGCGGTCGATTCACGGTCTCTTCACACTCCTTATAACTCCCTCCAACCTAGCCAGAACAGCCTCTTTTTCCTTCAAAGCCTCTTTTCTCCTCTCTTCTTCTTCTTTCAATTCTTGCTCCAATCTTAGGATCGTCTGGTGCTGCTTGGTCTCGCTGTCTTCCAGTCCCGGCAGTGCAGATATAAGCACCTCAATTTGCTGCTCTTTGATGATGAGATCCCGGGCTAATTCTAGCTGGCCTTCTTTGAATTTGTCCGCAGGTAATGGCTCTACTATAGTAAAAGGGTGAGTCAAAATCGGCATATGATAGGGGCTGGCAATCTCACAGCCGTCTTCATTTGGCAATGCTTCGCCGGACTCGTCCTTCTTGGTATCTTTTCGGACCATGTCGGTTGGGCTGAGAGTTTGGTAGTCATGGTGCTTGTTAATCCATACGAGCGATGCGACGAATTGAAGAGCGAGCTAAGTAATGTCAGTGGTTGAGCGTGGATGCTTTTTAATAATAAACTAGACCTCGTCAATTGCTTCTTGAAGTTGTGTCAATCGATCAGCCATGACTTGTTGCTGATAGAAAAAGGCAAATCAGTGTTGTAAACCGATGCTCCAGAGCTTACACGAATTGATCTCAGCCTTGCAGATAATCCTATGCGGGGAGATGTCCGTAAAGGGTTTAGCTGACTAAAGATCATCGGCCGTAGCCTTACATAATTTCCGGTTTCCGAGCATCGATATCAGAAAAGGTAAAAATATGTACAAAACATTCTCACACTACATAGGTACATGTTTATTCCTGCCGCTCGTTTTTCTTTCCGAAAGAGTGTATGCAGGTACCCAATCAGAGCCCGCTTTCACATCCGTTTTGCATTACTTAGGACGAACTACGCTGTGGAGGATTATGCTAGTCACATGATACTAGCAAACTCAGCCAATCTCCATGTTTTTAGCACGCTCTTATCTGCGTTTCTTGCGATGGGGCAAGCAATCATCACGCAGATATTTTGCAAACAGTGCAACTGTAACTGCATCTAAAACTAATGCCGAAGTGGATGATATAGCACATCCTAACTTACAGAATGCGGAACATCACGATCTGCCCAGTTTTCTAGAATATGCATCACGCAACAACATGGACACAGGCAGTACTACATATGTAGGCACTCATTATGAATATATGGTCAAGCAAGCATTGGAGCGATTGGGGATGTCTCTCAGGCAAGTTGGTGGAAGATCAGACTGTGGCATTGATCTTCTTGGAACTTGGACATTACCTACAGCTCCCCAACCATTAAAAGTCCTTATACAATGCAAAGCATTTGCGTCCAAAATGAAACCAGCTCAAGCTCGTGAATTAGAAGGCACCTTTGTAGGGGCTCCACAAGGATGGAGAACATCCAGTGTAATGGCGTTTCTGGTTTCGCAGCAAGCAGCAACCAAAGGTGTAAGAGAAGCTCTAGGCAGGAGTCAATGGCCGATGGGTTATGTACTGTGCGGAGCGGATGGAAAGATCATGCAGATGCTGTGGAACCGAAAGGCAGCTGATGAAGGCCTGGGAGGCTTAGAAGTTGAGATGCAGTATGCTGGTGGTGATCGGAATGAAAAGGAAGTCATTTTGACACACAAGGGAACGGCTATCAAAAATTGAAACATTGTTTGATGCGACCAAAGTTAGGCGCACTTTTCGGTAGCAAGACATAAGACGGCTCGTTTGCTCCTCAGTCCCGAAAGAAGAACAATCGCTTCAGCAAATAGCTTGTCGTCTTTGTCCCACAGCCGACAAAATTTAGGTTATGAATACATTTGCGGAGAGGTCCCATGTATCCACTTCTGTTTCTGTCCACAAAATCTAGCCTGTCTTGCGAACGATCATTCATCAGCTGTTACGACTGATATCACCTACGAGGATTTCTTCCTGGCCACTGCGAGACAACTTCTAAGCAATCAAGATGTGTTATCAAGTCATCCGATTATTTGAGTGCACTCACCAAAGCCCTTCGTTAGATATTCCATGCAAGCAGCCATCGGAAAACTGCGGTGGTATCTTTCTGAGACAGGAGATTGAAGATACGAAAGAACTATGTGAGGTAAACGTTGATTATTGGGTATATTAGCCTATCATGATCTAACACGATGTTAGAAATGCCAGGGAGCTACGGAAATGAGAGGATCTGGGACAGAGCCGGAAGATGAGGGTTATTGGTCATGACTCTGGTCCGAAGTGTGGAGAAAGGGACGCTCGATTTGCTCATAACGACGAATGATTTCTAAGGATTGGAAACTTGGATTATCCTGGAATAGTCCAACTCTCAATAGCAAACACTACGTCACACTGGTGCACTCCCCAAAATAACATTGCGTCTTGGTCTTGAAGATTCTACTTTGATCTGGTGAAATATGATGTTTTTACTTTGCTTTCTGTGTATTCAAAAGCCTTCATCCAATTTCATAAGGTATTCTCATCCAGCCCGAATCTTTCTATTGTGAACGACAGCAAAATATCTTGACAACGGTATAGAGATATATCTACATCTCACCAGCTTCGAGTTACAACCTTGGGGTACACCGCAACAACGAATCCTGCTCCAACTCTGTCCATCAGTTATTGAGAACCCTTTTTGCAATAGACAGGGTTTTCTCTACGATTTGTTGTCCATGGATATCAAGGATATGCCCGTGCGGGAGCCGCGTCATTGGTGTTTAGTCCGTCAAGTTGGTGGTAATCGTCAATTCCAAAAGTCACGAATAAATTCTGCTCGAGTTTTCAAGCTGTTCTAGTCTGGGAAAGCCTTGTTGCCCTGGCATATTTTATCAAGATTGAATATGATGGTTTGGAGAGTTGATCTGGTAGACGAAGAGCCGGGACACAATGTGGTCGAATAGTTTCAAGCATCAACATCCGGTACTTGCATGTAGAGATGATGGGAAACGAAAATGGATTGATTTGTTACGTTTTTGCTAAGAGAAAAGGATCATGACGTGACCAGTCATTAGTCGGTAGACTTTCAAAAGTATCAGACATCACGCGATGGGAGAACGTTTCTTGAAAAGGTGCTGACAGCTGTCAGGGAAATGATGAAGAATCAATATAATTATGATGGATTGAACGACGTAAGCACGTTTTTGGAGAAGATAATAGAAGTACTTTATTATTAGGATCAATTCTATGAGGAAAATGTGTCTCAGTAACGCATAGAAATCTCCACAGATTAAGGTGAAATTGAAAATATAGCAGTAGTGCGGCCTCAACATCCAAAGGATTTGGAGGGATGGAGGCATGCCTGAGAGGAGAAAGGAACGGAGTTTGTGGAATTTCAACTAGATCTTCAGAGAGTGTGAATCACCAGGGGGTGAATCAACGTGTCGACAAATAACGCAGACCTATTTCCTGGCAAAATGCTGGGGAATCTTTTGAAGTGCTTAAATACTCATCACATAGTCCTACTCGTTGAATTCCGAAACTGTGATAAGAAAGATGGAAATACTACAAAGACTCGCGTCTTGCCCCTCTCTTGTTTGTTGACCGTAGTTCATATCTCAATCTCTCAGAAAGTATTGCACATGGGTAGCTCTCGCTATCAATTTTGGAAAGACTATGATTTTATCATAAGATTTCCCTTTAAATGATTGTTCGTCTGGAGTTTTGAGCGAGCGGCAACGTATACGTCAGGTCAGCAATTGACAACAATGAAGTTCAATCTCTTGAGCCTGTGTATTTGTCTTTGCTTCTTGAAAAAGGTGGCGGAAACCGGATAGAGAAGTTCTGTATAAAGTTGGATTAATCACTAGTCCCTAAATTCATCTTATAGCAGATATCAGTGTCGAGATGCTTCTCGGTATTGACTCCAATGGGAAGAACTCGTTCCTTGCAAGTCTTTCTCGTTCACTGAATATCACACCCAACCCATAATTTGCATGCTATAGTGAATTCCTGTCTCTTAATCAGAGACTAACCTGAAAAGATGAGAAGAATGGTTTGGAATGAACGGTGCCCATAAATGCGGCCATATTCAGCTCAAACGAAACACTTCAGTGCAAAAAGAAATGGGGTTATAACAACACTAAGTCCAGGTTATAATTTTGAGCTATCTGTTGAACGTCTATACATTTGTAACTGAGTTTTGTACGTGTAATATGGACTCAAGTACCCAAAATTTTAAATCTGTGATTCTTTCTATGAGAGAAATGACAATGGCACAAGCATTGATAGATATGTGACGAGTGGCAGTGTAAAACATTTCAACGAATAGATTACTTCTGCTGTCAACAATTAATACTGTAGAGTACAGTGTAGGCAATAGTATTTTCCGTAATCCGTATACGGGTTAGTTTAGTGGTGCGTATCAATTCTTTTCGAAATACATCCGTATGTGGTATATAATTCAATACCACTGAAAGTATTCAATATCATTTACTTATTTAATATTATTAGCAATATACTGAAATACTGGAATCCATTATGAAATATTCATTCCTATCCAAATTAGACTAGAAATAAGGGATTCCTATTCAATTTGAAATAAGGAATGGAATTTTATTATCTAATATGAATAGGAATCCCTTTTTTCTAGTCTAATTAGAGTAGGAATGAATATTTCATAATAGATTCCAGTATTTCAGTATATCGCTAGTATTCTTTAGGCATATGAATATGTATGAGAGTGATATAATCTCCTTTCTATACATACTAGCTGCAATATCAATATGCTAATACGCGCCACAGTTTCACTGTAGTATACTATTGCCTACACTGGTAGAGTATTTCTCAATTAAATATCACTATCCAGTTGTTTCTCTTAATTTATCCTTGAAGTTAGATCATTGCTGTTAACTCACTCGGCGTCTAAGACTGAATTGCTACCCTTTCAACTGTTGCAGGACTCTCCAATTACCGCGACCATTATGATCTTCGGAGATATTCGGAGAACTTGAGTCTACAGAAGAAATACGGTCCGAAAGATATGAAGTGGTAACTTATAGATGGGAATGGAGAATGGAAATGAAAAGTAGAGGGTAGTGAATCATTCACTGTTCACACAAGTACTACTAGATATGATCACAAGACCCTGTGCATAGATATTTCGAGCACTGGTGTCAAGGGAGCAATAGCGATTCAAGTAAATTTGTATTAATTAGCTAGCTCATCATATTTAATAAAAGTTCATTGCATCCCTTTTCTCAATAAACAAATTTTATATAATCGCTTAGGCGATGGTCAGCACTTGATTCTTACATACTTGGGTATGATAACTGAAGATTGTGTCACACCCAAGACGCCTATTGAGAATATCATTATAGAGATAATGGTATATTTTGATGTGAATAAATAAACGAATACGAGTTTCTCTTTTCAATAGACAATTGCTTATTATTAAATCAGAATAAAATTCCACTCTTGATTACATAATGGGTGCAGATATGAAAATGTATTCAACGAGACTGATTTCATTTTGCATCGGCCGAAAAATGTTTCACGACTCCAGCAGAGACGGTCACCATTCGTTTGTCGCCGAAGGATCCACGAAATTGATTGTCTAAAGTTTAGTAAACTTCATCGGCGGCATTTGAGGTTGGAAGCTATACTATGATATCTCACCGTGTCAAAAGTTCGTATGTGGATGCAGATCTCGCATGTCTCAATACGCTTGTGCGAAAGGGGAGAGTAAGTCATGTCTCGTGTCTGGAATTCCATAGGTTTTGATTGAATGATACGTGGAAACTTTCCCCAGTAATATAAATGGCAGTTCAAGTGGGCATTATCTGCTTTATAGGGATGAAGAATCAGAAGACAATGAATATTAGAATACCTAGGCCGTTGGAGGATGAATGAGTGAATGTATGTGGATTTGCATGTGAATCAATGTTTAGAGAATTTGGTCAGAGAGGTAGAAGTCAGTCACAACAGACAGCTAGGCATTGAACATATTTCACAAAAGTCTTTATGAGTAGGATCTCAGACCTCAGTATTCGTTTAACAACGATATAAAATCAATTGCCAAAAAAACACAGGTCATTTGGCCGAACTCACTTATGAATACATAGGAAAAGGTACTGAAAACTAGCTTGAATATGAGGGGCCGACCCAAATACGGGAGCGCTTAAATCTCACTTCGTTATACGACATCCCATACAATCACATAAGTATCATTACGACATCTCACCATCACTTGTATGTACTTGCTAGTGACAGTAATAATATGATAGGGAATAGACACGAGAATACGAAAACAACAGCTCAGATAATTCGAAGACATACCCCGAGCCAGAAACTCCGGCTTATGATTTTCTTCAAAGGCTTCACCGGCAGGAATGCTAGCTTGAAAGTCGCCTGGAGGGGGTTCCACGTCAGTTTGGACTCTATTATTATTAACTTGGACAACATATTAAAGCCTTTTATATGTGCCTTGTAGTCACTTGAAGAAACCTAGGTGAATATCCGAGAATGAGAAGTAAAGGTTTGGTAGCTTACTTACCTAGGTATATATGGGCACGAAAATCATGTTCAAATTTTCAAGACTTGTGAGATTATCTCTGATGGAGGATCTTTATGAATTGATTCCCCTGCCAATTAGAAATAGCATACTAGATACTCAAAGGGGAAATAATCATGAGATGTGATTCCTACATGCGATTTGTGAGACATTTGTAATTCATCTGGGGTTAAGATAATGACAGCGTGTGAAGGTATCGATAATGAAGCTCAATATCATACAATATAACAATAAAAATTTATACCGATGATAGTGCTGGAATCTTTATTGAATAAAAGCAAGGATTTAGGAGTCCCTATCAAATTCTCTACATGTGCATCATAAAAGTTAGCAAATCGTATGCTCTTCCGCGCCTTCAAGTCTGATACTGGCGACGAATAGATAATTTAGCGTCTGTAAAGCTTCCATAGCATCTGCTAATTATACCGATAGCGCAGGAAACAATGAGTGAATAGAGTTTTACTTCAAGACTATGGAACACCTGCAAGTCAAGGAGAAACCCAATCCGTATATGCGTGTGAATCATCAAATAATGAATCTCATCTAGCGATCCGGTGAGGAGAAGCCAAGCTAACGAATTGTTGAGTCTATGAATCAATTGTATTAAGGGAAGTACTTTGAGAATTCATCTGATCATGAGATCTCGGTATTTGTGTATATATACAAGAAAATGAGACAACTTTTTGCAAACCATGGAAATCAAGAGAAATGGAACTTAATAAAATTGTCTATTCCTCGTGCTTTGATCATTATTCTCTGCAAGAATTTGCAGTTTCTATATTGGACGTTGAGCTTTGGGAGTACTCTAGACATTCAACTTCAACTTTGTTGATATATATTCTTGTTATTGTTTCTCATCATCTTCGCTGTGATCACTTGCTCTCACCGAATGTTCAATACATCAGAACTGCCTGAGCTAAAGAGGAGCGCCGGATGATGAATGCGCAAATCCATACAAGAATCTTCTCAGATCTATCTTAACGAACCTCGCAACAATTCTTTCTTTCTTTCTTAGATTATGAAGGCGATTATTTCTCGTACTGTCCATGATCATCCCACAATCTCAAACGAGAATTTATAACAATATCAGTAGCACAAAGACACTGAAGAAGTGAATCCAAGCGAACTAGAAAGCGATCCCGAATCTTAGGAAGACGTAGAGAAGAAAGTGAATATACTCTTTAATTTTGTCTACATATAAGCTCTCACCCACGCATTCCGGCTTCGGCAGCAACACAGGTAGCAGCGGGAGAAGCAGGAGTACACAGTAGTAGAATCCCAGCTTCTTTGGAGCTAAAAAAGCCAAATCCTCGCGATGCATCTTAGCGATCTTATGCATCTTCAGAGAAGTTCTGCTGGATAAATAACAATTGGCGGACGAAACACGACGGTAATATTTTCGAAGCGACGACAACAAGAATGATATTGAGTAATTTTGTTCAATAATCATGATATTATATGTACTGCACAGCGCAATGTGTCTCTTCCAGCGGGTATACCAACAATCGCAAACCATTCAACCAGATTATCTTGAAAACTATTTGTCAAGTCTCGCCAGCACGCTTGTTTGCAAGACTGCTCGACCGGCTTCTCTTGTCTTGAAGAAAGCAGGGAAATATAGTCCTTCTTTAAAGGTGGAAATTCAGTTAATCCTCAACCCAGCAAATCCAACTTCCAACTCCCGCCCTCTCCTCTAACAGCCTACATGCACATGGTCATTCCCTTATCCCAGCCTAATCATTCACTCACATGATCATAAGATTACCCCTCATCACTCCAAGCCCCACTCCCCTGACATCAAGAAACTGAGCTCCCCCTGCCCCCAGCTCGCATAACCCAGCTTTCCTAAGCGAGCCCCTCCCCCTTTAAACCTCTTTTACTAATAAATACCTCCTCACCTACCTGCCAAGTTTCACTCCCTAACCAGAGGATATAAAAACTGTCATATGGACTTATGGAGCCATATCAACTGAGTATTTTGAATACCAGAACATGGTGTTCTTGGAAGTGGGTGTGGAGGAATATATACTAGGTAGGTATGTAGTATATTTGAATTTAATTTCACGAGGGAGGATGTATCACATACAATGTACAAATAATAACGACAATAACGACAACAATAATGCCGACCCATCAAAAATAACAGCAAAAATAACAATCATTCTATTTGGATCATAGTCTATAGACGAGAAGTAAGATTACCATCGAAAATTACCCACAAAACCAGATAGATCTCTAATCGCTATATCTGCATATACAAATCAAATGAGAAATACCAAGTTCCCAAGTTCCCATCTCACATCTCCCATTTCACATTTCCCATTTCCCATTTCCCATTTCCCATTTCCCATTTCCCATTTCCCATTTCCCATTTCCCATTTCCCATTTCCCATTTCCCATTTCCCATTTCCCATTTCCCATTTCCCATTTCCCATTTCCCATCTCCCATTTTCTGTCTTTCAACCTCCAATCTCCATCCTCCACCCTCAATTAATCATCAAATCCAATCATCAAATCCAATCATCAATCATCTTCCATCCTCAATCAATCATCAAATCCAATCATCAAATCCAATCATCAAATCCAATCATCAAATCCAATCATCAAATCAATCATCAAATCCAATCATCAAATCCAATCATCAACCCACAAAACAACAAATAAATCCCACACACCACATACCACACAAACATTAAACAAACCAACACCCCCTTCTCCCCCTCTCCCCATCTCCCTCTCTCCCCATCTCCCTCTCTCCCCATCTCCCTCCCTCCACACAAAACCTCATACCATAGCAACAATCCCAAACCCAAACCCAAACACCATTAATTAATTAATTAATTAATTAATTAATTAATTAATTAACTCATTCATTCCACAACTTCACAACTTCACAGCTCATTTTCCAACTCCAGCTCCACTCACACCTGGGCAGCCACCATTAGCGAAGGGGAAATATAATACAATATAATACAATACAATTAAATAGATAGCCTCCTTTCCTTCTTAATCTCTCGAATCACATTATATATATATTCAACTTCAAAAAAACAAAGTATCAAAATTCCAAATAGTATAAGAAAAAAATAGAAGTAAGAAGTAAGAAAGAAGGAAGAACATAAGATAAGAGTAAAATCATATAATATATATACCTAGTAAGTGGATATCCCAATGCAAATGATAGAGTAAATAAATATGTAGTATCTATCTCGTATAAAAGTTTCACGAGAGATGCTTCGAAGAAAGATTGAATATGAGATGATGGTGTGATGGTGATGGTGATGACGATGTAAATTTATTCTTATTTATATTCCTTCGAGTCGATGGGATGGTATAATAGTATGTATATATGTATGTATATATGTTTTATTCATGATTCATTACTTTTCCCACAGTTCTCGATACCAGTGACAATACCAATTCAATGATATGTAACCTCACTCCTCAAAACCTCACAACCCTCTCATCAACTCCCCAATCGTAATTGGTTTCCTGACCGCATTCGAAAATCCCTCATGAAACGTAACCCACACTTTCTTTTCCGGCATTTTCTTTTCTCCACCCCCACTATTCTCTCCCGCTCCCACAGTACCCCCCCTCCCCACCCCTCTATCTTCCAACACCCTCCCAAAGAAATCCTTCTTAATCTCATTCCCCGTCCCCGTCCCCAGAACCTTTTTCTCACTCTTCCCCTTCCCAAACTTCCCCTTCTCAAAAGAATATTCCTCATCCCCTCCATCCACATTCCCCATCTTAAACCGCGCCTGTCTCGCCTTATTCTCGCGCACGATAATATTTTTCTGATATTCCTGATCCAGGACCTGTCTCACCGCATACCTCACATTCGTCGCATCATTTTTGATAGGTGATGTTAAGAACGTAACTAGCGTATCAAGAGGTGGTTCCATCCTATAAACCCACTCACTCGCACCCCATTTCGCGCCTACATCACTACCCTCCAACCTTCCTCTCTCATATATTACACCGATTTCGTTCATGACATCTACAGCTCTCTTGACCATTCTCTTTTCAGAATCCTTGCGTACACTGGCTATACCTTTCGTTTCACCGCTTCCTCCTACGATGATAGGTTTTACTTCTGGACTTATCATACGTACAACATAAGGCAATAAATCCATAGCTATATCCTCGCAACTTCTAAAACTTCTCAAAAGTTTCGCGTCAAGTTGAGATTGTAGTTCTTGAATCGTGTTTCTGTTTAACTTCTCCATTTCAAAGGCCGAGAAATCAGCACGCGGGCCGGTGAATGGTAAGGGCTCTGCTTCTGGTTCAGCATCTTCGTCGTTTTTGCTCCACTTCTTGTTTGGCTGATTGTCGGAACGGAAATAGTGACGAGCGGGCGATGCAAATAAATGATGCCATGCTAGAACGGGTTGAGTAAGATAGCCAGCCAATTCCCATTCCTGACCCGAAAAGACGCGTGATGAACAACTATCATGAAAATGTAGCCATTCGTAAGCAGCATCTGGTTTAGAAAGTATCGAGTCATCATTGAAGGGTTGATTAGGATATTCACCAAAGATATCGGTCATGATCCTATCAGTATCACCACTAGTCTCGATCATGGAACCAAGGCGCTCCATACCTGCTTTCCGAGCAAGTTCAGCAACACCAAGCTGCGTTTTTGGCCCTGCGTTAAATGCGTCTTCTGGTACTATGTTTTTGAAACTTGTTGGCCTAGGGAAACCGGCTCCTTCCAGGAACACACGATTCACAACTTCTTTGATACCTCCTCGCCCAACAGCCCGAGATCCACCTCCACCGTGAGATAGATCACCAGTCATGTTCTGTTCGACCCATTTTCTAGTTAAGCGAGGTCTTTCGCCTTTAGACTCAGTTCTGAGTTTCCCTGCTGCCCATTCTCCTACTACCAAAATACTTCGTAGATCGCCTTCACCAGTTCCTTCAGCCCCTTTCTTAGTATCCATGGGACTTATTCCCCACGTTGCTTCACATAATCGGCGAATAGCGTCACTATCACAGGATACTCCTTCCTTCTCAAAAACTGTTTGCATTCGCTGAACAACAGCATCTAACGGTGGCTTTCGGATATGTATGATTTCGGCGAAACTCGAATTGCGTAGCGGTCTCAAAGAAGGATGATATACATCGTTACAAACCAAAATCAAGGGTCTCAGAAGTCGAAAATCATCACCTTTCTTTTTCTTCGAGTAATTGGTATTTGCGCCCACTGTCGAAGAATTCTTTTGATCCAGAAGTACCAGATCAATTAGAGCTTTGATAAATCCACCCTCACCCGATCCACCAGCACCTCCTACAACTCCATCAACTTCATCAACAACCACACAAAGTGGGTGGGCATTCTTCGATACATGTCCAGATTTTGATGTAACAGTCGAACCAGTCTTGACATTTTCCGTGCCAACACTTGTTCGAATTCGACCTTTTACTACATCTCGACTTCGTTCATCGCTAGCATTGATTTCCATAACTTCATAACCAGCTTGCCTAGCACAAACATGTGCCAAAGTAGTTTTGCCAAGACCGGGAGGTCCCGTAAGCAAAAGAATTTTGCGATGAGGCTTTTCATCATCTGGTTCCCCGAACTTCTTCGTTGGTACAACTTTAGGTTTTCCAGATTTAGGGAAAACAATAGGATCCCAAGCTTTGAGCCATCGTAGTACTTGACGGTGTGTGCGATCGTCTCCACAAAGTTCCATGAAATGTCTTGCCCTATATTTTTCAGTCCACATCAATGTTTTGCGCGGTTTCTTCCCTGTAAGATTCTCAATTGAGGGTATGATTTCATTTTCCGTCTTAGCTTTACTCGATTCCTTCGCCTTCGTCTCCTTTGAAGCTTCCTCGACCAACTCTGATATGTTTATCCCATAGTAACTCTTCTTTGCTTTTCCTGCTTTTGTCACAGATCTAGCTGCTACCAGTTTCTCGAACGATATAGGTGCAGCCTTCTTCTTTAGGTTTATTGAGAAAGACTTTCCTGAGCATGTTTGTATGTCTCCAGCTTTTCTCGTTGTGTTGTTTAGGAAGGCTGGCAACGTGGATGTGTTAAGGTTACTCCCAATAGAATATGTTGAAGGTTCGAAGGCAGGTTTAGGCAATTGTGTGTCTCGCGAAACCTCCACCACTGAATCTTCCTCGTTTTCCTCATCAGATTCGTCAATCATGAAACCGCTGACAGTTTGGCGTGGCCCTGTCCTTGAAGGTTGTATCTCCTTTGCGGAGGCTTTTTGTGATTCTTCTTCCGGTATGATGATTGGATCCGTGGGTTTCTCAGTCATCCGTCTCTTTGCCGCAGGTTGTTCAAAGTCTTCCTCAATATCTGAGCCATCATCTAACAGAAACCCTCCAACATTAAGTGGCTTTCTGAGGTCCGACGCTTTTACTGGATGTGGCCTTTTTATTGGAGGTGGTGAGGAACTTTGAGGGTATTCGATTGGCGATGATACTAGCGGCATCTTGAGATTCGGTGGGGAGGAAGGGATAAAGAAGGAATGTTGCTGCTTGGAGGAAGTTATTCGAATTGGTGATTCTTCAAAGATATAAGCATTACAATTTCCCAAGTTTTCTGAGGAAAATCAAATTTCTAACCCTGAATATGATCTGCCTCACTTCGAAAAACCTCTGCGACTTTCCAAGCTCTATGTTGAATGACTTCCTTTTCTCTATTCTTTCTCAGTCGAGTTTCCTCTTCAAGTAGATGTAAAGCTTCGAATTCGTCCGACTTGATGTTTGATGGTAGATCTAAAGGGACGAATGAATCCTCCCAATCTTCGAGTAACGCTGGATCAGATGTTGGAGGTAAGTCTGGGGTTGAAGTAAATTCCATTGAATTCATCAATCTTCAAGATATAAATTTCATTAATCAATTCCATGGCTGATTGTGTATTTCCTTATCGAACGCGCGAATAACGCGTTGGTGGATACGCGACGTGAAAGTTACTATGTAGGTAGCGCACTGTAGCTTAGCATTATACGTACGAAGGACCCCTGATATTACATAATCAAATTAATAAGAGAAATGAAATGGTTCATGCAATCAAACGGAACCTTGCGATCGGTGGTCGGTAGTTAGATAGACAAGAAGCCTTCTTCTACCACGATATGTACATATATGGTTATATCGTATGGTACGGCAGCAAACGTTGATATCCTTCTCCTACTGGCATATATTCATACGTTTGATATATATTCATGGATAGCCGAAAGTCAAGAAAGCTCTTGCTCAGTCTTATAAATTGGCCATGGCAATGTCAATGTCAATGATTTCCTCTTCCTAGTATATCTTGTTATATACCGGTATCTTGTTTTCATTGACATCGTCACGTGAACGATATCTTTCTCTCAATTGAAATCATTACCGACCTACCTAGGTATCGACTACTGCATCTCACTGACTAGGAATCCTTTCACCTTCCCATGCCAATTTCCCCGCTTTTTGCTTATTCAGGAAGCAAATCACTTGACTCCGCCTCCGTCCTTACTCAGTCGTCGAGTCCAGCTTTCCCCATCCATATTATTATTCATATTATTCATATTCCCGAACAATCAATCGCATTCTCGCCTGCGCCCTTTTTCCTTTCTTATTTCCATCAACCAAGCGACCAATTCCACTCCTTGTACATTGATAGACCCATTGAGCCAAGCTGCCGATACTGAATAATACATACAGGGGGAACTCAGAAACTGTACAATTCGGTTCCTGATGATGGATCAAAGAAGTGTACCTATTGGCCCTATTGGCCCTGTTGGCTCGATTGGACCCAATGGACCGATCTCCCCCGCATTCGTATACAATGGGACAATCACATACGCTTCAACAACATCCCCGACAGTTACAGATACCACTTTCAATGCATCTCCAGTAACAAGTCCAATACAAAGGGAAGATGGTCTGACAACAGAACCTCCCAAGAAGAGACAAAAGCGTAACAAGCCTACCCTATCATGTGTTGAATGTGTAGAACGTAAAACAAAGGTTAGTTGTACTCTGCAATGTCTTTTTCGACTCTTGAGTTCCAATGCCATATATGATCAAATTCTAAGCAAAGTTGCTTCTATGTTCTACGTACTATATACATACTGCACTATATGTTCTGCTTCATCTTGGTCAAAGTTGAACACATTACGATTCTTTTTCCTAGTCTTGGATTATTTCGATGGGTCATGCAATTACATTTACATCGGAGAATATGGGAAAGGATGACATTCTCCCGGTTGTACTGCTGTAACCCACCTGGGGATCCACCTCCACACTTGTTATGATCCCACCCTTTCTTTTAGGTTTTGTGATATTATGTATCATTCACAAAGTTTATTGCTTCAGTTCTGAACTCTCCCATTTGTCTAGTAATTTATCGAAATGCATATTAATTTATATCTAGTGCGATAGGGGTCGGCCAAATTGTCTTGCATGTAAGTCCAAGTTTGTTACAATCTAGATGGACTAGAATAACATAGCGTCTAGGTATTAAGCGACAGTCACAATGCGTATATCATCCAACAGCAAACATACTCGAGTTAGTATTACCATGGCATCTTCTGTATAATCTCTAACATTATCTTCAGAGAGACAAACAGGACGACTGCAAATGCTCGACGTATGACTAAACCACCAAAGAAGTTGGGTCCTGGAGCAGGAAATCTTGTCGAACGACCAAGAAAAGCACCAGATCCAAGCGAGCGAAGTGCATCTAGGGGCTCCGTTTCTTCATCTACCGGTCTGCTTTCTAATGTACCTTATTCGCACCCAAAAGCCTCGAATGTTTTTGGTATTGGCTCAGAGCATCCCTTTGCAAATTATTGGACATGTCAAGGAGGACTTCCGGAAGTGATTTCGGTGTTACCAGCCAAGGACCAAGCAGATATCTTGATGGAACGATATTTTGAATGTGTCGATCCTGTTTATCCTATGCTTCACCGGCAAACCTTTTATGCCGATTATGAGCACTTCTGGTCATTAGCGGGACCCGAAAGAGATAGAACAGATGCCGCTCTGGTTGCTATGATATTCTCCATGATAGCTTTGGGGACCCAATTTGTTAATAACTCTCCTCCAAAAGAACGACAACAAACTGCCGAGTTTTATGTATCTGCCGCTCACCAATCGCTTCGTCTCGGTTCATATCTTAATAAAGCCTCGATGCGCTCGATCCAAGCCATGGTCCTTATCACATACTTCCTCATCAACGATAATCATGCTTCTGATGGGTGGGCATTTGCCGGTATACTAATTCGACAATCTTATGCTATGGGTCTCCATCGCGATCCTAACATTGTCACTCCAAATGCATCTATCTTTGACAAACAACAGCGTCGAAAACTTTGGCAGGCAGTACTGCTACAAGATACCTTCCTCACTGTTCTACTTTCTCTCCCACCAAGCGCTACACATACAGACGTCAACGTAGAAGACCTCATCGATGATTCCGGCTCCATCGCGAACTGCGATCCAAACGATACAGCTTATATCCGCGGATGTTGGACTCTCGCCAACCTCGTACAAGAAAGCATTTGCTCTCCCCGCTCGCTAGACCTTCCCATCTGTCCGACCGCCCGCCAAAAACATAAACTCATTTCCGATTTCAAAGCCGTCTATCGTTCTTTCCCAGACGTCTTTCGCTCCTGGGACCGCGATTCCATTTCTGTAGTAGCAGAAACTAATAAGCGTCTTGTGCGACAAACACTCTTCTTGACGAGTAATTACTTCCATAATGTGATGTTACTCCATTCAAGCGAAAGTCCTGAAGTCCAACCAGATGTTCGAGGAACTTTGAATGCGGCACACGAAGCTATCAACGCGTTCTTCCTTCTGTATGAACTCTTCGAGAGCGAAAGTAAAGTTTGGTGGGTTTTTAATCATCGCGCATTTTTGGAATGTATGATGATTGGAAATACTTTGCAGGAAGTGAGCAAAGATGAAGATGGCGCGGAGAAATTGGGGAAAGATCCATTGTTTGTTAGGGCTAAGGGGGATATTGGTATGTTTCTTTTTTCTCTCTTTTCTTTTTCGTCACTTAGAAAGTTGTTCCTGGATGACCGTGCGTGCTGATGATTAAATAGTCCGCATGATCGACATCATGACCAAAATCGGCGACGGAGATAATGGCTCACAAGTCGCGCGGACGAGAGTCCAGGTTCTAAGTGATTATGTATGAAATTTCTTCCTTACTTTCTCTGTTTGAAATGGTTGTAGCATTTTCCTGGGTTGCTGAATTGCTGGAGAGCAAGCCGAGTGAGTTAGTGAGCGAGTGAGTAGGCGGGTAAATAAGTAAATGGGAGGAGAGAGGAGGGAGGAGGGAGGAGGGAGAAGGAAGAGAAGCAACGGAGAAAAAAAACCCCTGGTAATTATGCGAGTGCGAATTGTCAATACGGATGCGGATGCGCATGCGGATGCGAATATGGAGTCAGGAGGCTCGTGTAGATAGATATGTAGATTAAATAGGTTAGGTTAGGGTAGGTAGGATAAGTTAAGATAGGATACGATTAGGATACGATTAGGATTAGGATATGTTGAGAGAGTAGAGCTGAAGAATCTACTCGGATTGAATATGGTAGAATTGGAAGAGGGAAGAGAAATGAATAGCAATGCAGTTTCTGTACACATTGTTCTTCCTACCTTCACATTTCATACATCACATCTCACATCACACGTAGCACATCTCATCTCATAAATCGTAACTCGTTAAGAAACACAACGTAATTATAATACCCAAGTACCTAGGTATCCCCTCTCTGCCCGACCCAATTTTCCATCCCCACGCACTCACTCATCCATCCATGTAATCTCATTTCATCTCATCTCAAGCCATCTCAAGCCATCTCATAATTCTTCTATGTACCTACCTACCTAGTAATCTGTCAAGAAAAACTATAAACAGTTCCCCACTGTTCTTTTCTTTCAAATCCAGCCCTGTTTAGCGTTACGCTATTCCAGCATTCCACCAATCCACCATTCAAGCATCTTCTCCCTTCTCCATTTTCTTGCTCCCACCCATCCATCTCTCCTTCCGAAGAAAGTTCCAGAGAAGAGGGCACTTCCTGGGGGGAAAAACAACGCCGAGTGTTATCTGTCCAGCTCGGCTCTGCTAAAGAAAGAACATTTTAAGAAACAAAATCGATTCAACCCCATGCCCACTTCCTTCCTCTCAAACCCCGTGTATATCATCTCGCATCGTATCGTACCGTACCGTAGCGCATCGTAATAACGTAAGTGATGAATAGATGCGTCTTGGACTGCCGGAAAATTGTTTTGTAGACTTTTACGACACTACCATCAATCTTCTTTGGTTTCCTCCACCAAAGCATCCATCCATCCATCCATCCATCATAATCCATCCTTTCGATTTGAAAAAGTTCAAACTCGTCCCTTCAATAATGCACACACCCCCATCTATTCCTGCCTCCTACCAGTACCCCAACGATCTCTAAACCATCCACTCAATCCTCCATTTCCAGCCCCCTCACCTCTAGTCGAACCATCACTCCCACTTCTCTGACTCCTCGGTCTATCCTCTGGAAAGCTCGACGTTGGGCTTCCAAATCCTCTCCTCTGATCATTTGCACCCGCACTCATGCCAGAGTCTCTTCTACCAAAAGCTGGAGGTGTCGATGCACTATCACTTGGAAAATAACCCGGCATATTTTCGCTTTGAGCGGTAGGACTAATGAAGAAATTACCCGCCATTGCATCTTCCGTCATTCTCTCGGCTTGTCTTTCTGTCTCTCTTCTTTGGGAAGCGGAAGGGCCGGAAGGAGGCATGAAGCGCCCGTTTCGGATAGATTCCAATCGAGCCTCATTTCGGGCCATCCAGTCATTTTGTTCCGAATTGAAACGAGAAAGACGAGCACGACGGCTAGTTGGAGAGGTGGGTGATTGCGAAGTTGGAGAATTGCTCGATCCTCTGGCATTGCTAGCAGACGAGGCGGATGCTTCATTAGCTCCGATACCTTTACGGCAAATAGGGCAGGTATTATGTGCGCTGAGCCAGGCATTGGCGCAGGACTCATGGAACCAGTGGGAGCAAGGAAGCACGACAACTTCAGTACTAATAAAAACATCATCCATACAAACGCTACATTCGCCTTTGCCTTCGGGGCCAAGCATCTTTTCGTCGAGGGCCTTCTTTGGAAGGGAAGAGATGGCGTCAGCCGGGGCAGGGCCGGGTGCGTTGGATTGTTGATGCTGTTCCATCAATTGTGACATAATCTGATCAAATGCCTCTTGCGAATACACAGCATCACCATGTACTGCATTTGGATGATTGAAAAGTGATTGAAGAAGAGCTGGCAAGCCCATAGCACCAGGAGGAGGCATACCAGGACGACGAGCCTCGCCATCTTCACCTGCTGCGGCTCCACCAGGCCCGGCGCCTATTTGAGAGAATAAATGAGAGATAAGTCTGGTACTTTGGTCAGCAAACGATCTTCAAATTAATGCAGAAAGGAAAATGGTACTGAGCTGTGAGAACAGAACGAATGTCAGGAAAAGTACTGGGATCCAGCGTTTGTATGGCTTGAAACATGGCCATAAGATTGGGAACAGGAAGTGCATCAGCTCTGCGTCGGCGCGCCGGCTCACGAATATTGACAGAATGAGAATCAAGGGGTGCATACGTAGACAAATCCTCAACAGGTGCTCCTTGACCCTGGGGGCCATTTGCATCTCTTGGCCTTAATCGACCATTTTCAAGCGTTCCTTCAAATGTGTATCGACCACCAACAATACGAGGTCCTTGACGAGCACCTATTCCGGTACCGACTCCACCACCACCCGTATGAAATTCTCCGGCGCGTGGGAATAAGTCATCATGACCCGATCGACCGGTGCGAGCTTCTCTCAAATTCGGACCCAATAGATTTCCTAGCATGCTTTGAAAATCTCGCATTGTATCATCGTCACCTCCATCACCACCTGCGGCCCGCCTTCGGCGATTGATGATTCTATTGGCTTCAAATGGGCCTGGTCCGGAGGTTCTTATTGTTTGCGAAATTAAAATAGAGCCATTTGGACCATGCGTAATGTGTTCTTCAATATCCGCTTCTTCCGGATCTGAATCATCGGCCCAAGGATTATGATTATCAAGATCGCGCAATGGTGCATTTTCTGGAGCATTACCCATGCCACTACGAGGATCGCTATTTGGATCGACCTAATGAAATGATCAGAAATGACATCGAACGAAGAGCGAAGAGCTGCTGAAAGTTGTAGACTTACTATTTCAATAATTTCTCCCTCACACGCTGGACATACCAAGCCATGTTCATCCTGATACCATTCATTCTCGCATTGATGGCAGTAAACCACTTCCCTTTCTCCCGTAGCATCCAAATGTCTACCACCACCAGTTGCATTTCGTGGGTCAGCCATGGCTTCTCTGAACGTTTGGTATGCCCCAAGGGCAGTCAAACCGAGAGATAATGCCAGGCCTGTCGTGCGCAGCGCTCGTAAAGCCAGAGTGGTTGATTTGGCGTGCTTGCTTCGATCTCTCGCTATCTTACAATGAGAGCGGGGAAGCTCGTTAACCTATATCCCCTACGGACAGGGGGGTTGAGGATATCGTAATCGGTGTGGTGTATGTGATTGCTCTGAAATGTGTGTCAACAGCACAAGGCGCAATCAACCCACAGTTATTGTTGTGGCGTAAGATTGTATATTGTACCTAGTTCGGAAAACTGCCTCGTTGTGATCGTCTTTACGAAGATTGATAATGGGAAATTTATGTGGTTAGGCGGGGAAGAAAGAAGAAAGACGAAGTTTGAAAGTAGTATTATTTGATTATTGAAAGTCGTTATAATAATTCACCATGCAATGGGAGATTTTAAATAGAAGGTGAAGAAGGTGAAGAAGTGAAACTGATTTGAAGTTTCTTGGAGATTGTTGTTGTTGTTGTTGTTGTTGTTGTTGTTGTTGTGAGAGTGAGAGTGAGAGTATGAGTAAGAGAAGTTGGTGGTTCTGGTGTTCTACGCATTTGAGATGGGATGGATGGGTCAGTGACGCAAAGTATTCGGATTCTACTTGTATGGTTCTATCAAATGTGACAGGGGGTTCAGATTGTGAGTGGATGGTGGTGGCAAGGCTATGCTGGTGCTGGTGCTGGTGCTGGTGCTGGGTCCTTTGAGAACGAACAATCCATCCATTCTCCAGATTAATAATAATACTAGGTAAGTACTACAAAGTACCTACACACAGTATGTTATTTATTACAAGTGTGACATTGGATAAGCTTATAAGTTAGAAGATGGATTGTGCTTCAAATCTTCAGTCGTCGCACAATCATGTCTATGGGGATTTGCTTGCAGGAAAGGAAGGACGAGAGTCAAACATAACCACGCTCAACCGATCACATTCTTACGCATTCCATCAATTCCCCAAGCTGAAAGAAAAGGTGAATTCTAGATCAAGGGCGGAGTCAAAACTGAGACTGTGATGAATCACATACATCAAATGCAACGTATGGATATAGATCTACTCGTTTCAAGTCACATTTTGAAAGATTGAAAGATTGAAATGTTGAATAGTGAAGTTGTTCTCATCATGCAAAACCGCACTTCCGCACCCAATGGTATCTCAAAAAAGCCCCCCAAATCATGTATACACACTTTCATTCTGTTCATCCGAGCCTTTGAAGAATTCAACCCGCCAATTATCTATTATTTCTACTCACACCTCTGAATAACATCGAGCCCACAACTCCAGCAGCAATAGCAACGCCACTGAGGATCGCAACACCTATCAGGCCTTCTTTCGCAACTTTATCGTCAATCAACCCCTTCAAACTGCTTGCCTGTAAATTCTCCGGTTCCTTTTCCATTAATAAATCATTATATCGTCGTGCTTCAGAGTAGTTTCCTAGTTTGTAGTTGCCAAGGGCGAGGTAGTAGAGGCATTCCCTTCTTCGCTCAGGGGATATGCGAAATATGTCGGAGAGGAGACGAACTCCCTCTTGTTGTTCATGTCGAGAATTTGACTTGATCAATCCCTGATTCAGTTAGCGACTGGCCAGAGAAACTGAAAATGCAGGATGAACAAACCCATGCGTAGTTGAACTGTGTCTGCACGCCAACATGTTCGCCCTCTTTCTCATATTGCGCTCTTAGAACTTGGAGTTCTGCAGGCTTCAACGGGCTGACAGTTTGTTAGACTTGACATTCCACA